GACATCATGCTTGGGAGGGTTGAGGGACAATGCAGGAGGGGAAGACCCTCTATGAGATGGATTGATTAGGTGACTGGGGTAATTGGGATGGGTGTGTCAGAGGCGGTGCGTTTGGCGCAGGACAGAGCAGTGTTTAGGGCTATTGTGCATAGGGTCGCTATGAGTCGGAAACGACTCACTCGACGGCACATAACAACAACAACAACAACCTTTCCCAGCATGGCATCTACCACAGTGGGCTTGATCATGACAGAGATAGGACAGGATAGAGCAAAGTTCAGATCTCTTGGCTCTCCTTGAGTTGTAGACCACTTTATGGCACCCAACAGCACCATTTAAAGTCCAATTTCAGGCATTTAAGTTACTAAATGAGTTCTCGTGGCCTAGTGGCAAGAAGATGCACTGCAATCCTGAAGGCATGTGGTTCAAATCCACCAGCGGCTCCGTGGAAGAAGGAGGTGCAATCTCCTCCCATGGAATTAACTGTTTCTGAAAGCCCGCTGGAGGGTCAGCTCTGGGTCGGTTCTGACTCCATGGTACACAACAACAAAAGTTACTAAAAAGCATACAGTTAACCTGTAATATTGAGTTAGCTCAATTTCTCTAATGTTGCAGCGGGCTATCTTGTATCCTTCACACTTAGAGCCTATATGCTTGCTGTACTGATTGGTTAGTCATGGATGAGATGGTTCCAATCACTGACTGGTCAGGGATGAAGTTGCTTTGTTAATGGGTGACTAATTGGTGGTGATTACATTCCTTGTTGGTTAGCACCATTTGAAGAAGACAATGGTGAAAGCAAATGAAAGTCAAGTTGACAACGGACATTTTGAGTTTCTTTTTGTCTTGTTGGTGTGTGTGTGTGTGTGTGTGGGTGCATGTTGATACAAATGAGTGCTTTGAGGTGAGAAGGGCAAAAGTACTTTAAAAATTAAAAAAAAAAAAAAAAGTCTTCAGGAAAGAGTGCGGTGACCTGGGAAAATCTGCTGTGGTCAAATTTAATCCTGGGAAAAGGCGTCCTGGAGAAAGCAGATGAGGAAGACAGGAAGAGAGGGAGGGAGGGGGAGGCTCTGGGTGTGGAAGGAGGAAAGGGTCGGGGGTGGGGCCCGAGAAAGTGAGAGGGAGCTGGTACTAACTGTGGCGAAGAGGACCACGGAAAGGAGAAAAGTGAAAGCCTGGGAGGAGGAGGAGGAGGAGAGCGTGGCACGTCCAGGCCCGGACCCCTGCCCAGGAGGCGGCAGAGAGCGGCAGTGGGGGCAACTTGGCCCGCCGCGGGCCCCCTTGGCAGCCTTAGGCGTTGGTTCCTCAGGGATCCCTCCCTCCCCAGCGCATTGTTCCTTTGCCGGGAGACGAGGAAATTGCCTTTTGATTGCGGAAGTCCGTGGACGGGGCTCGGGGCGAGGCGGCGCGGGTCGGAATGGCAGCGTGGGAAGGGCGGCGCGCTGGCTGCCCCCGCTGCCTCTCGCGTCCTCAGCCCGCCTGGGGCGGCAGCAGCAGCAGCACCAGCGGCGGCGGCCACCGGGGGCACCGTGTGTCGCCAGCACCCAGGGAAGCGCGCTGCGCCCACAGGGCGCGCTAAGCGCGCGCAACAAGTAACCCTGTTCCTCTACTGGGGCTGGGGGGGGGCCCCGTGCCCAGAAGCCTCAAGACACTTCCCAGTGTCCGCGCCCCCTAGACTACCCCGAGTCTGAACCCCTGGTGTTTAATCTGAGTCTTAACCGCTGAGCGCAATGCTGAGCCATGGAGCGGAGTTGGCCTTGTGGATTGCACTGAGCTTGCTGCAGGTGAGTGGCCCATGGAGGGATCAGAGGCTGACGCGCCCCTATGAGAACCGAATTCCAACAGTACTTTCTTCCCCCTGGGTTGTGTTCTGACAAATGGGAAGGTCAGTTTTCTTCCCTGTATTTGGAAACTCCCCTTCTCTGCATCCCAGCCAAACACCTCATCCTGCTGTCAAAGGCAAAAATCTGTATCTCACTTCAGCTGTTCTCAAGGGATAGTACCTGGGGAGAAAGTTGCCACCTGCTTCCCCCACGGGCACCAGCCTTTACTCTAAAACTGAAGGGGGAAAGGATGGCCTGACAGTGGGGTAAAGCTTGTGAAGCTTGCTGGGCACTCAGGCTGGTCAGATCCCACTGTATGTTTCAGCTGTTGTCTTTGGTTCCTTTGTAGGCTGAAGTGGGAGAGCCAGTGAGATGCAATGTCACCGTGATAGAGACCAGCGTCTCCAGCCGGTCCATGTCTCTCCAGTGGAAAACTTTGGGGTCACCTTGTAACTTTAGCCTCATCTCTAACAGTGACACCGCGTGGTGTTACCCCATCCAGATAGGCAACTTCACCTATGAATGTAACCAGAAGGATCTGCAGCCGGGAACCGTCTATAACCTCAGGATTGTGTCTTTGGATGGAGAAGAGACAACTGTGGTCTTACAAACAGGTAAGGGTGGCAGGTGCAGTCGGGATGCCAGGCCACTCTGGACTGGACCCAGTCTCTTGAAGCTGGTGTTTCAGATGAATTTCAGGCATATTTTTTAAAAAAAAAAGTTTTTTAAAACCTTATGAAGATAATTTATGCAAAAAGGTTTTGATTCTGCTTAGATCTGGCCAGAAGTTACTTGGTTCGTATTCAGAAATGGCCTTAGGGCTGAAACAGAAGACTAGCCACTCGAGAGAGTGCAGCAAAGGAAAGATGCTTTGAGTATGGAGATAATTTGTTAAAATGATAATAGATTGAGCTTTCATTGCACTAAATGGTCAAATCTTACAATAACTCTAACGCTTTGAGAATAAATAATGCAGGTGGAGGGACTAGGAAGATATATTTCCTCAAGTCTGACTTTTAAAAACCAGGACATAAGATACTCAGGAATAAATAGAACTATTCATCGTGAGGGAATTTTACAAGTTTCTTGAAATTCAGGTGTGAAAATGATTTGTATCACTTGAATAACTAAAACCGCTTAATATCAGAGAACATCTGTTAGTTTCTCCATACTTCAAGACAATTATTTGTGTTATACTCTTTTATAAGTATTTGTATTTGTGAACTCAGTTTTGTTACCTGTAAAGCAAGTGTTAGACATTCAGTTCCAAGATCCTACCACATGCCAAAGACTGAGGTAGGGACAATCAGTCATGGTTTTTATCCTCATAGCCACTTTCCACCTGCACTCTAACTTCTCTAATGACTTTGATTCTTTATGATTTAATTTTAACCTGTTCCTGTCTTTTAATATATTCATCATTTGCTGAAATAGTAAAGCCTTACTTGAATCCAGAAGTTCAAATCTATGTGAAAATTTTGCAAGTATAGAAATGTGATATCCTTGCTAGTCTCTCATATTTCAACCTGTACAGAGATCATTTCTTCAGCTATAGATCTTTAAAGAGGTGCAAGACTTTTTAGTTCAGAGGGCAGCCAGGTCAGGAAATGTGCCTGGACTCATGTGTTCTTCAACCAACTGCTAATTCTCTTCTTTTTCTAAGAAAAAAAGATAGCAATCTCTGAATACATCACTTGATTTACTCCCAATGGAATGTGTTGATGATTTTTGAGATTTGTAAGAGCTTAAACTGAAAAGGACACTACTTGTGAAAATTTGGCTAAACCCTGGCCAAGTGTTTAAGTTATGCTGTTGATTTCAGTCTTTGTTGATTCCATCTAAAAGCAAAATGAAATTTTTAACGAGTAGTGTTCTTGTAAGTTTAAGCTCTTACAAATCTCATAAATCATCAAAACATTTCCGTTGGAAATAAATCAAGACATAATCAGGCATTCAGACATTTTTTTTCTTTAAGTCATAAGGTTTTGGTTATTTGTGGAAAGTCCTGTGAACATTATATTGCTAAAAACTGGCATACCCTAGAACTTTCATCAGGTGTTTGACCAACTGGTGTGTGTATAGAGTGGAAGAGAGTAATAAACTGGTGAACCTCTGGGGGCTCAGACAAAAAGATCGTAAGGAGGCAGTGTTTGTTTAGCCAAAAAGATATGCTTCTTAGAAATAATAAAAAAGAATAAGACTCACTCTGGGTGTTACTAGTTAGAAAGAGTTTTGAGTTAAACTATGCAAGCAGGTGTATCAAGCCCAAAGGAACTTATGAAATATAAGAAGCATTTGTATTTTATTGATTATATTGAGTAAAACAAGACTCCCATCAGCATTTACCATGTGCTAGCACTCAGGGTTCTCATCATATTCTTAAGAAGGTGCGTTATTCAGATACCTTTTCACTCTAAATGTTAAGAGCTTCATGATAAATGTGAAGAATGAGTGTTGCAAGTGGTGTTTATATAGTGATCATTTTCTTATTTATATGATGGCATAATCCTTCCAAGGAGTCTTTATATTTTTATAAGTAAAAATGTTCATATGATGGGATATTTTAAAAATAGTTTCATAGGGGATTTTGGGTTATGGTTATTTATTTTATCAGTGTTTTCTATGTTTTGAACATGTATGTGAAGTTTTCATTTACTTGGGGAGAAAGTACTAGTATCTGTCTATATAGAATACTGACGAAATGAGCTCTAGAAATCATACTTTGTGATTAAAGAAAGATAAACTAATCATATACTATTAAGTATGAGACAAAAATTGAAATTTAAAAAGAAAACAAGACGTTCAGATGTTCTTATGCTTTCCTAATTCCATTTTACTTGTCTTGCCTAGAATAAAGCAGGATGAGGCCAAGGCCTGGTCTGTCTTTTGTTTTTCAATAAATTACCAAAATAACTCGTTATTTTGGTGTGATACAGACATGGTCTTAAAAATCAACATATTTAATAAAATGAGAATATCCTAGCAACGTCAGTTTTCATGAGAGAGGTAAGGTCAACATCAAATAATATATTTGGATTCGTTTTCAGTTCAGCAAGCATTAATCAAGCATGGGGATACTGAGGGAAACTATGCCAGGGAGTGATTGGCAAGCTTATAAAGATGATGAGCAGATCATGGTCCCTGCCCTTGCACTCTTGTGGGCGAGTAAGAGATAATCATGATGAAAGTGTCGGTAAAGATTTACTCTTCTTTCCTGAGTAAGGACCTTTCCCGTCCTTATGTGTGCCTTGCTTGCTGACCTTAACAGAGAAGACATCTGTGGTTATATGGTTTATTTGATCATTAAATGGTCAATGCAATCAAAGTCAAATTACTTTGTTATGAGTGTACCAAAAAGTCACATGATGAAGATGCTGAAGAATTTGCAAGTACTCAGAATCTAGAACAGAAGTTGCAAATTGGTAGCCCATGTAGATGTCTACTACCCACTGCCACAAGCTGACTCTCATTCATAATGAACATTCATTCAATTTCCTGAGGCTGTGAATCCTTATGAAAAGAGACTAGCTTTTTCCCCCCTGGGGCACCTGATAGATTTAAACTGCTAATCTTTCACCTAGGAGCCAATACTATGGCACTGGAGATCCTTGTAGAGATGTCTGGGTGTCTGAGTAACAAAAAGCTTTTGTTTGGATCATGGAATGTTTGAAACAATTAAAATGATTTGCTAGCATTACAGTGAAAATATAAAAGCTTAGATGTATGAATTATCTTAAAACATTAGATATTTGGGGGGGAAATAGAGCTGGTATGACTACAAATGACTCTTTGGAGCTGTGTTGTAACTGCTTTATGTTCCAATTCACAGGAGTCTCCCTTGGTCAGTTCACGGATTCCCTTACTCTAATACATCTTTGTCTAATGTTAAATGCCAACTTATCCTAATGCTGTAAAGGAAAAGAGTCTTGAACATACCATGGACTGCCAAGAATATAAATAGGTCTGTCTTGGAGAGGGTGAAACCAAGTCTCTCCTTGGAGGCTAGGATTCTGAAGCTCTGCCTTACTTACTTAGGGCATGTGGTCAGGAGAGATCAGTCCTTGGAGAAGGACAGCATGCTCGGGAGGGTGGATGCACAGCACAGGAGAGGAAGAATCAGATGAGATGGATTGATACAGTGACCAGAGCAATGGAGGTTGGTGTGTTGGAATTAGTGAGACAGGCTCAGGACAGGAAAGGGTTCAGAGCTGCTGTATGTACATGGGGTCGCAGGTGACTCAGTGGCACATAACAACAATAACATACAATGACAGGTTTGGAAGCAGGAGTGGCATCCACTTCCTAAATAACAAGCCTCCGGAAACTCTATGAACTTTGATAAATGTTGATAGTTGTACAGGGGCTTCAGGCTTTTTGTTCATAGAGTCGCTATGATTCATGCTCAACTTGAAGGTAATCAACTCTAATGTTAGGTGTCAACTCAATGACACCTAACAGCAGCAACAACAATGCATCTGTTAAAGACACTTGAATTTGTGATTTCTATTTCAGAGATTGAATTTAGAACTTTGGGGACTACTTCTGTGGCTTAAGATAAGAAGTAGGTTTTGGGTTCCTAAGACAACATCTAACACATAGTTGTTGTTGTTGTTATTGTTGTGGTGGTGGTGGTGGTGGTGGTAGTGGTGGTTAGGGGCTGTCAAGTCAAGTATGACTGATAGCAACCCTATAAAGAAAAGATCTTAACCCTGTTCTATCCTGCACCATCCTCACAGTTCCTGACACAGGAGCCCATTGCAGAAGTCACCATGTCAATCCACTTGGTTGAAGGTCTTTCTTTCCTTCACCAACCCTCCACCCTTCCCACCATCATGTCCCTCTCCAATGTCTCCTAACAACATTCCCAAAATATATGAAGCAAAGTCTCATCATTCTTGCCTCCAAAGAGCATTCCTGCTGCACTTTCTCCAAAACATAGCTGTTTGTTCTTTTTGCCATCCTGATACAATGGATGGATAGGTGGATAAATTAATGGCCAAATGGGTGACTAAATGGATGGATAGTTAGATAGACAACTATTAAAATGTGAATTATCTTAATGTGTTATTTTAACATTTTAAAATAATAATATTTTAAGAATATTAATTTAGGGAGAGTGTTGGTCCTTGGATTATAGGCACATTTTGGAGGCTGGGAATAAAGTCTTGAGTTTAATGGTTCTTATGGTTTTAAGATTATCGTAGTGGCATTTGTGCTCTCCTTATTCTGTTTCAGCTACTAGTTAATTGATATAGAACAAAAGGACAAAAGACAGAGCTGTTTTGAAAGCAGACTTTTGGTTTTTACCCTGTTGTTGTTGTTAAGTGTCTTACTACATAAATTAAAATTTAGGAGTGGGGAGTAGGGAATCAACATTTTAATATGTATCAAAATGAGTCAATACACACTAGAATTAAATTTTTTTTCTTTTACTTGTTGACATCAAGATTTGGTCCTATTCCTCTTTATACATGGTTTAACGTGAAATTCTTAAGAATATTTACTGTCTTGCCCAGAGCAGAATAATACTTTATGTTTGTTTCATAATTTTATAGTCTCTGAAACCTTATTTAGTTGGTAATACTAAGAATTATGTATACACTGAACCTATCAT